TGACAGGTCTACCTCCAGAAGAGAGGGAGGAAGAGAAGGGAGAGGGCCCTTCCCTGCCTTCCGACCCGGGGCAGTGTTTGTCGGCCCTGCAGGGGGCGCTCCGAGCTCTGGAAACAAAGCTGAGCAGTCTGAGCGAAGAGAAGCGGGAGAGCGAGGCTCGCTGCTCTGAGCTAGCGCAGTCTCTGGAGGCTCTGCAAGGTGAGTCACAGTAAGGAGCTCTGAGGGCACTCACCCATCACAAGGCCCTCGGGGCAAATCTAGTCTGCTCTGAGTCTGGAGATGTCACACCTCTGACCAGAAATCAAGCACAAATTCCCAACAGCACAAGAAGCATGGACTCGGCAGCATCATTTAGTAGGGCCTTATGCAGACGCTCACCGAGAGGTCTGATATTCATACCACATGTCCGAAATCAGTGTGGGGAAATTGGATCATTCCACTTGCTCTCTGGTTATTGATCATTTCAGAGTACAAACAGAGTGGTCTTGAGGGACTGTGACCACCTTGTTTGTATATTTCCCTGTACCTAAGGCCTCTGCTTGGAATAAAGACAGAGGGTACAGCAGAGACGCGCTTATCTGACTTGCGCTTATCCGTCATGGCCAATCACCATGGTGTACAGTATATATCATACGCTATGCGTGTGCGTGCATAATATTTTGCAGCGATGCTGCGCTGTCGCGTACTGCCATTGACGTAGCTTCGCTTGCTGATTTCGCGCGCATGATTATTATTTTTCCTATTGCATTTTCGAAGCGGCACTAGCTTACGTCGAACAACAAGAGGAGGCAACTGCTACTGATGTCACTTTGCCACAGGGAAGAGAAGCACATCCGGGAAACAGATTCCAATCACTCATTTTTTAAATAATAACTAACAATAACTCTGTACTCTGTTATTTTAGTCTTGTAGTAGATTAATAAACCAGATTTCATACTTACACTGTGCTTCCATGTATCTATGATTTGTCTACTCAGTTTCTGCATTATCTGACACACTATAGGTCCCATTTAGGTCGAGTAACCATGACTCTACTGTATTTAGATTTGACACAATGGGAGTTGTTATAGGTTAAGTTCCTTATGGTGGCAGTGGAATTCACCTACATGTGTATATTTTCTGAAGGAAGTCATGGTCGTAATAATTGATGAGAGGCCTTATTAGTCATCACTCAGTGTGCATCCCTGTAACATTGGAATGGTTCATGGTGTAGGAGAATGTGCGCTGTAGTTTGCATGGGTTTGTACTGACTTGAGGGGAGGAGGCTGGAAGATCCATAGAGGCTTACTTCTGAAAAAGAGCTCTCAAAGGCAATCGGAGTCTCTGCAGGATTTTATTTGGACTCCCACCTGCACTTAGGGAGCATGGGGGAAATAGGTCATCATTTCACTTTTTAAATTCTGATCCTCTCCAGTGCTGATCAGAGTTACTCTCTTGTTTCAGGACAACTGCACAAGAGCATTGCAGAGGGGGAGGAGTCAGCTGCAAGGATCCAACAGCTGGAGGAGCAAATCACCACCTGGCAGGTGAGCAGAGGGCGGGGTTTGGGGCCGGGAGGGAGTCCGGATTGGCTGATTGGCTTTCAACTCTAAGCGTTCTTGTGTTCTTAAGTCTTTGCAACAAGATCAATTAATATCATGGTGATAAGATTAGTACACACTGGAAGAACCATGCATGTGCTGCACTTGGGTAAAACAAAAAATAAGAATTAAAATAACAATAATTGCTTATACTTATATAGCGCTTTTCTGGACACTCCACTCAAAGCGCTTTACAGGTAATGGGGACTCTCCTCCACCACCACCACCACCAGTGTGCAGAATCCACCTGGATGGTACACATTACCAATAACCAAATCACATTGCCTTTCGGAGAGTTAAGAACACCCATTGCAATACAGTGTAAGAAGAATAGCAATTCAGTTTGATTCAAAGGGCTGAATACCAATGAATTACAGTGTTGCCAAAGCATATACAGTACAGTGCCTTGAAAAAAGTATTCAGCCCCCATCCCTTTTTTCACACTGAAGAATCTTACAGCCTGGAATTAGATTTTCTTAGAATGGGAATTTTTATCTGTGAGTCACACATTCATCTTCTCAGTCAGAGTCCCCCCCCCAGATAAAAAAGAAAGATAATAGTAAACCATAAATTAAGAAAAACTAAAAAACTGAACTAGAATAAGTATTCATCCTCCTTGGTCAATCCTCAGTTGAAACGCCTCTGGCTGCTATTGCTTTTTGGAGAATCCTCCGTTAACTTTGCACACGGAGATGGAGCGATATTTGTCCATTCCTCCTCGCAAAGTTGTTCAGGATGGGTCGGGTTAGTTCAGGAGCGGCGATGGCGGTGTTGCCGAAGATTTCCAGCGGGATTAAGGTCAGGACCGGGTCACTCAAGGACATCATTCTAAGCCTCTGCAGTGTTGCTCTTGCAGCGTGCTTTGGATCACTGTCCTGTTGAAAGACAGACTTCCTCCCCAGTTTGAACTTTTTGTCCCAGTGTAGCAGCCTTTGGTCCTGTATCTGTCTGTGATGTCCACCAGTCATCTTCCCTTCGTTCCAGACGAGGTTGCCAGTCCCTGCTGCTGAAAAGCATCCCAATAACATGCTGCTGCCC